TTTTTTTTTTTTTTTTTTTTTTTTTTTTTAAATTAGCTCTGTCAAAGAAGATGGAAGTGAGCCTTAGATATAGACTTTACTTGATAAAAAGTCAAATAATTAACTTGATAAAAATCAACTCCTAATCAACTGATATTTAAGTAAAGCAAAATAGGTCTTTTCGAACTACAGGATTGAGAGGACTTAACCTTCTCTCAAGGAGTAGTATGCAGGAGAACTGATCAGCAGAAGTTTTATTATGCTCCCAGACATTAAAGGGTTTTTCTTTAAGTAATGCCGTGATGTGAAACTCTGAAAGTAGAGAAAAGACATGCAGTGACTGCAGTTGCCATGATTACAATTGCAGTGTGCTTACTTCCCACAGAAATTGCACACAGTCTTGGAGTTTTGTGTTTTATTGTAACAGTTGCCACGTTACTAATTGTTTTAAGATTGTAACTGATGGTTAGTCAGGAAAACTTTTTAATGGTGTGTTTGTACAAGGAAAAGCCATGGAAGGGCTGCAGTTTCCATGGATGCCATGTGTAAATGACTTGCTTGTAAAAATATGACTGACATTTAAACCCAACTAAACCAAGAAGGTCAGTATTGGGTGTGCACACTGGAAGCATGTGTCTGCTTACACACTTGTAAATTATATTTCTACAGTAATTCAAAGGGCGGGTTAAGAAGTAGAAACTTTGTTTCTGACCTGTGTATATGGTGCTTTGATAATCTTGAGAGTGGAGAATTAATTCAATGTTACAGTTTAGAAACAGTGACAGAAGGTAAGTCCCAAAGCTGAAAGTGCTGAGCTTAAATTGCAGGCATTTTCCATATTTTTGTTCAGTGTTTTTCTCGCTGACTCGACTGTGAGTGTGTGGCCAGGGCTGCTGTGTAGGCACATTGCAGCCGTGTGCTGTGGTGTGAGAGCACCTGACCCAGCACCTCCCGCAAATGGGGGGACGATTAATGCTCTCCTGTTTTGCTCCAAGAAATCCACTCGTCGATTCTGCTGTTACTTCAGTAGATGATTAATGGCTGTGGTTTGCGTTGGAGTAAGGTCATTGAAAGATAACTCAGATTTCTCTTACACAAAAAGAGTGGGTTCTGATATTGCAAAAAGTCATTTGGTACCAATCCATGTCTTTTTTATTCTTCTGTCTGATTTACATTTTTGCTGGATCTTTTTTAAATCACATCTAAATGTTTGTATTTGATCCACTGAGAACTGGTGGCCGTGCTAGACATGTCAGGAAATTATTTCTTTTACAAAAACATGAAAAGTATAAATTTATCTATTTCCCCAAATCCTTCATAAAGTAGACTTTTACATACTTCTGACTGCTGTAACTTTGGAAGCATGATATTATTACAACCACAGGTACCAACTGCATAACAATGCTTTGCATGATAAAGGACTTCCATGGGTTTTTTTCAGTATCAAGAAGATTATGATAGAAAGTAAACCTTGCATAGGTGAGAACTGTGTAATAAACTCCTTATCTCCACAATCATCAGATAAACAGCATTCACTTTTATCTGTCATCAGATGGTCTCTTGTTGGTAATCCATCTGTACCTACACCTGACATTGCAAGTCTTTAAAAATATTTTAGAACATTCTTAAAATGTTCTGTCTTCAATGATCCCTTAATGCTCACTATATATAAAGTCAGAAAGTTTTTAACTGTCAGTGGCCACTGAAACTGTGAGTCAGTTCTCTTTCCCTTCAAAACTGGTTCATGATACATGTTGTTAGGAAATAACTTTAAGTCAAGGTTATGTGTGGTATGACAGACTGAGGGATGGGCAGCAGTGGGCTCTGCAGTTATTATTGAAAATAGCTGCAAACTATCCTTTTATGTGATCATTATGAGTGTGTTTTATAAGAGAACTGCTCTCATCTCACAGGGAATAATTTCTTAGGAGCTTGAGGTAAAAATGAATAATGTTGCTAAAAATAAAGAGGTCAAGTCTTGTCTTCTATGTAAAGGATCAAAGAAAATGAAGGCAGGAAAACATTTTATTTCTAGATAATTATTTGAATAATGTATTGAATTTCTCATAGTTTAACACCAGAATATGCAGTAACACTTCTTACTTCATTGCAAGACACATAATAAAATGTTTATCATTTAAGAATTTTACAAAATATTGGACATATCTACAGTTATTTTTGGGGATTTTTTTCCTCCTTGTCCCTTTTAAGTGTTTCACAGTGGTAATGACATCATGAGAACATTTAAAACAATGTTTAAATTATTCTACCTCACACATTGGTAGAAAGCAGTAGCAGTACCTTAGAAGAAAGAAATGAACCAAAAAAAACCCATGCCAGAACAAAACCATACATTTCAGAAAAACTATCTCGGTATGGAGTATCTGACTTAGTGGGAATATCGTAATATACATACATTACAATGGTGAAGTCACCGTTGTAGGAGCAAATAGTAAGATGTTGAACTATTTTGCCAGAGTTAAGCCCACTTATTAAATAGTCACCACCAGAGTTAATGAATTTTCAAAGTGCTTTCTGTAGCGAAAAAAGAACATAAAAATTTAGAAATATTACTATAACTGCCATTTTATTCTCAGTATTCATGGATATCAAAATTTATTCTGACAGAAATGACAGATTAGCTAATTTCAATGAAACAATTCAGTGTCACCGTCCTGGCAGCCTTTAGTTTCCTTTAAATTACATTCCCATTTTTTCCCGGGGAAGGCCCAGTTTTTTTCCTTTTCTGTAAAATGATTGTTGAAGGTAACACATGCAAAATGGTCGTGTCCTTGTTTCCACAGAGCTCCTGTGGCCCATTGCTCATATGCATCTTGGAGTGTTTAAATATGCGAATACCTGCAGTGGCAGTGAGGTCACGCTAGCACGCTTTCAGAGATAAGAGTGCTGCGTCTGTTCTGGTGATACTGCTGGGAGCTTTCTTCCACTTGCATTTCATTCTGTACACTAAAAGAAACTATTTTGGTGTCCAGCAACTGACCAGCTTTATCTGGAGTGTAACCACTGGACACCCATGACTTCTGCATAATTCCGTGGATATTTAGGTTAATTCAGACACTAGCTTATTCATTATCAGCAGTTGAACTACCTGCTTGATATTTAGGTTTTATTTGGTGTGGGTTTTTTTTTGTTGTTGTGTTTTTGTTGTTTTATTGTTTTTTTTTTTTTTTATTTGATAAATATGCAAGAAGAGAACAAATAGAATGATGTCTTGTTCCTGTAGAGATTTCTCTGTTGATTTTAACATCTTTCTGGATTGGTTTTAATGAGTCTATACTGGCTTACACTGATTTGCCAATCTACGCCTACAATCTGTTATTTTTGGGAGATGAACGTAAATCACTTCAAATGTCACCTATTTATTTGTCACCTGACTCTGGTAGATATTCTTGCATTGGATAATTTATGCATACATGCATGCATTAGAAGGTTTTCTTTACAGAGAGAAAATAAACCAGAAAATTTAAAAATGTATACTTAAGCTCTGCAAAACTGATGGAAAATATCTGCTTCCACTGCCCACTCAGTCTGCCAACACCCTTTATTCCTTACAGCAATCAAAAAATATGAACAATATTTTAACTGTAATTACTGTACACAGTATTAAATCAGATACCACCCACCAACTGTCCAAAAAATGAGAGAAGAGGAAAATAGAATAGAAAAAAGAAAAAAAAAATCTCTAGTTCTATGTGAGTTTGAGATGTATTTGAAACTAGGTTGTCCTCTCATGACCTTATTTAATAGGACTGGAACTTCCTGTGAGTAGACCTTTTTTTCTGTTTGCACTGTAATTTATTTTTCTTCTTCATAGTTTATACAGTGTACTGGTTTTACAGATAGTCATCTAAATCTGTCATATCCAATGCATGGGGGTCACAAAAGTTAAAGTGGATGCTAAGGGCATTCCAAACTGGCAAATGGGATATAGTCAGGATTATTAATGTGGAAACCGGGTAAATTTGGAGTCATTTACTTAAGTAATAGATGTAATATGATTGTATGTCCCACATAGAAGTGTATTTCCTAATGTTAAAAGGCTTCACGTCCAAGTAAGGTTTCCAGGGTACAACTTGTGGGAAGAATATTCTCAGTTAGTAGAGATGAGGAAATTGGAAGATAAAACTCTGTCCCTTAATTTTGCTCTTGATTCCATAACCTGTATTGACAGAGGGTCGTTCTGCAAACAGTATATTCTGTGGATGCAGTCTGAGGGTGGACTGGTTTTCTTTGATAGTCATGGGAGAAGTATGAGTCTGATCCTCAATTAGGTGTTAGTGAGGCATTTTGGAAAATAAAAGTTTCATCACTGCCTTTAATAAAGATGAAGAAGCATGGTGTGAAATTGTATTCACTGATTAGAATAATCATTATCTAGAGTATAGTTTAGAGTATATAATTTCATTTCTGGCCCCATGAAATCATTAGAAGCCCAGCATTTGCCTTACTGCATTGGAGCAGTGGTTGTCATGTGGAAGGCAGTGTTCTGCCCTCAGCAGTGTCACATACTTGTGGCTATAGAGAAAATTTAAATATTTAGAAATGCTCAAAATTAACAATCTGATGTTGTAGGCGATGGCTCCTTTTCTTAATATTTTCTGTATTAATGGATGAGATTAATCTACCTTAATTGGCATTGAGTTCTACAGTATGCTTGTATCTGTGATGGAGGTTACGACCAGCAAACTGCACTATAGAATATAGAGAGGCTTTGTTACTGTAACCAGTAATAAACATTTTGAGACACTTTCTTAAATAGTTGTTTGCTTTTTTTTAAAAAAAGTTGATAATTATTTTTAAATTATTTTCATAATCATACCTTTTGCTTATTAGTTTCTGTAGAACATCAACAGCTCTATATACACAGTTGCTGACATAATTAATCACAGTCAGACAATCCCATTACTTTACACAAGTTTGTCACCTGAAGAAGCTCAGCTGATAATATAGCAGCAATTTGCAGTGAGTAGTCAAGTGTATGTATTTAGGGAATTTATTAAAATGTGTTTTATGTATGCATTACATAGACTAGGAACGTAAGGCAACATTGCAGAGCAAGCATCTAGGGCCTGGTCTTTGGAACTTGTGGGATAATCTTCAAGTTGCCTGGAGGTTTATTTTGGATCACTGCCTAATGCTCACATGCTTATCTGAGTCATGCTCATCTATTTGGCATCTTTTTCCTCTCAGACTGTCACTTGTCTACTTCAAGTGCCTCTCTGCCATCACACATGTAAGAACCAGTGCAACCTATAACTGCTTTATATCTGACTTTGCTATCTTTTGTAGTAAGACAGTTGAATTTCTTGAAGCTCTGTGAAGGGTTTCTGTCTTTATAAGGAGTCCTGGGGTGCCTTTAGTTTCATCTAAGTAAAAATTAAATGTAGGGAAGTGATGGTGTGCTGAAGGTATCTATCTAGGCTGTTATTAAAGTGTTAAACACACTTCTTATTCTTCCATGTCAAATAATATTGTTTTTTCCTTGAAGAAACAATGCTTTCATAATAATGCAAAAGTGTGATGAGACTGCATTCATTGGTTAGTGTGATATTTATTAATAATTAATAAATTGTCATTAATTATTATATAGTTTAAGGAAATACAATTTTTTCGCAATCTGAGATTGAACCATAGGTATGTAGCCTTTCTGTAGGCACTGACTTCATGTACTCAAGTAGCTGTATTAAAAGAGCTTTATTGATTAGTAATCAATTTCCTAGCTCTTTCACATTTTAATTGCCATTTTTTTTTTTTTTTTTAAATAAGCTCTATATTCATCCATAATTCCCCCAGCAGTTACGAATTAAGGAGCACATAAGTATTGTAAGTAGTAAGTAATACGAATAAAGGAGCACAACCAAACTTATGCTACATTTTTACAGTTTTTAAATATGTAAATTATCAATGAAATTTTAAAGTCATATGTTTAGGAATTCCACCTGTTGATATGCATGAATTAGTATAATAGTGCTAAATTACAAAAACTTTTAAAATAATCCTATTGAAAGTTAGGATAAGAAGTTAGGTAATTTTCTGTACAAAATACATGTATTCTAAGTTCCTATTCACATGTATGTTGAGTATGTTAGGTTCAGCACGTTGTACCTTGATGCTAAAGGTCAAAAAAGCTGCAGAGCACTTTTTTTTTTTTTTTTTTTTTTTTTTTTTTTTTTTTTTTTATTATAGTCAGGAGAAGCTTTAGGCCACTGATCTAAAAATACAGTTTGTGTGCTGCTTGATAAAAGATTTGTCTTGCTTGTGGTGTAACCTCAGTTCCGTAATAGTCAGGTAGCTATAATAGGCCATACCACGTATGATTTCTCTTTTTGCGTCATGAATTTCTTAGCTTCAAAATATTCTGATTGGAAACACCTGACTTAGATTTTTATCTCTTATCTAGGAATTTGCTTTCTTGTTCCATTGCTTTTGTAGGTCCCAGAAGCCATAAGAAAGTGCCAGCGAGCTGGAATTACAGTCCGTATGGTCACTGGAGACAACATCAACACAGCACGTGCCATTGCCATAAAATGTGGGATCATTCACCCGGGAGAAGACTTTCTCTGTCTTGAAGGGAAAGAGTTTAACAGAAGGATCCGAAACGAGAAGGGAGAGGTAACTCATCTACTAAATCTATACATATTAAGAATATGTTATTAAAAAATAGTGAGAACACTGAAATGTTGTTTCTCCTGCACTGATGTACCTCATTCAGTAAAGGCTGTCTGAAGAGATTGCTACTTCTTTCTACTGCTAGCCTTTTGCAATTCAAATCCTATTGAAAAGGCAGTCTTTACTTTTCATGACGCCGAGCCACTGTCGGTTTAGTGCTAGCCCAATTCAGCAGTTTTAGAACCATAGCACTAGTCCACAGGAAAGCAAAACCAAGCACATTAAAAACAAGTTTGTTACCAAAGAGGAGAAGAAACTCAACAGGAGTTTGCAGGTCCGCCTCATGAAAATGCAATCTGTGCTGAGATCCAGCTCCTCTCATTTCTTTATTTTATACCACTTTACCTAACGTACTGCTATATCCACTCACTGTAATGATTTGAGTAACAATTTATTCTTTGGAATTCCTTGTAAAAAATGGAGCTAACACACAGGCTACTGAAGTCAGCTTAAAAAAAGTAAACTCTATGCTGTGTCTTTGACCCCACCACTAATGAATGGACACAGTCCTTTACTCCTTCCATTGATTGATGGAATCCTTCGTCCTCATTGCTGTTGGTGTACAGAGAAAATTCTGCCATTATTGGTGCCAAAATGAAGTGAATTCAAAATGACTTGGATTTAAACGTAGACTAGAACAACACGCTTCTACTTGTAAACATGTTTGATCAGCTTTGAGAAACTCTACTATCCTGTATATAGAGTCAGGATTCTGAGTGGAATTATCCATAAAGATCCTAAGAAAGGCTGATTAGATACTGTGGCAAAATTTACCTATGCTAGTTTTTCTGTGCTTCTGGAGAAGTTGCAAATGTGAGTAGTTAAGTGAAGCATCTGATACATGGGCACAAATATATTTTGCAGTTTGATAATCACAGGCCAACAGTTTTACTGGTTTGGGTGTTTTTGTGTTCCCTCCCCTACAGATTGAGCAAGAGCGGATTGACAAAATCTGGCCAAAGCTTCGAGTGCTTGCTCGCTCATCTCCCACGGACAAACACACTTTGGTAAAAGGTGCGTGCAGGCTGCTTTCACATGTGTGTGTGTAATTAATGCCAAAGTTACTGAAGTATGTCCGACACATCAACTGCGTTGTAAAAGTTTTACTGTTACACATATATCTGACTTGTTACCTTTAATTGCACATCTATACATAATGCAAGGAGGTTTTTTCAGTAACAAATCTCTTGTGTCTGTGTTCTACCTGAGCCTTCAGATGGAAAATAATATGAAACTGGTTGGCAGGAATAACAGAAGTACCAGTAAGAAGTCTGGCAAGTAGATGTAGGCAATCTCATATTTGTCTTGTGATTGAACTAGAACAAGGCTCTAGCTGGGAAGGGAAGATGTGTGTTTACTGGTCAGAAAGAAAATATTGTTGTGTGACATATAAACAAGAGGGGGCATAGATTTTGTAGTCTTAGCCCATACCTCTTTATGGAGAAAACAAGAACAAACTCATTTAGAGTAAATCGAGTCAGTCAAGTGCATCTGTTCTCTCACAATTAAAGAGTATTCCAAGATAAAAAACCATTCATGTTACAGTAGCAGTTATTGGAGATCATGTAACTAGGAGCTGCCCCCTTTAGCATTACATGAATGGAGATAAGTATTTTAAGCCAATTCCATTTTCCTATAGGCTTGCTAATTGTATGATTTACATTGGCTTTCCTTAGGTTTCTGGCTGTATTTTCAGAGTCCGGTTTTGTCCTTTAAAAACTGCACCTTACAAATTATATTCTCTTACCATACTTTCTGCAGATGGAGTGCTCTGTAAAAGAGGGATTTGTTTGCAGTTTTCTTCAAAGCCTTTTTTGTATCTGTAACTCCCACTTCTTGATGACTTGAAATCTTACTCTGTTGACTTTGAAGCTCACACTTAAAAGACATCTGATGAAATCAGAAAATTTCTGATCGGGAATAACATAATTTCTGGCCATGATAAGATGGGGGGCTGGCACAGAAAACCCTGTTGGTGGATGGCTGTGTTTGCTGGCTTCCTGATGAAGAAAGAACGGGATTATTATTTGCTAAGGCCCTAGAAAGTCTGGAGGGACTCTTCTTAGCAATTCTTGGAGGAGCTAAAGTTCAGGATAAGATCCAGCTGATCAGTTACATGTTTTCAGCTGGTTGACTACATAAATAATAATTCAAATTTAGGTAGGAGTTTCTGGATTTATCCTTTTGGTATGGTATAGCAAGGGTTTATTGATATGACTCCATACATGACTGATTACAAAGGCTTTTGAGCAGTACGTAATTTTTTTTAAAATGCCTAAATGACGTAAGAGCAAAAAATCCTACTGTGAATTTGAAGATTGGATCAGTTGGGTCCTGATTCCACTGGAATTGGGAGCAGTGTATGCGAAGAGCTTTGGAAGCCTGGATCTTTCAGGAGAACTAAGATATCTTGTAAGATACCTTGTATCATGGTGCACGAGATGGGGCAGCTGGAGACACAGTGCTTTTACTCACCCTCTCCAGCCACTGTTTAGACCAGTGGTCTCTGAAATGGGGTGCACACATGTCAGGGACAATCCACTGGGATTCAGGAAGAAAATATTTTTTACCATTATTAAATACAAGAATATGATAAATTTTCTTTTATTTAATAATGGTAAAAATTTAATATTCTATCTCATCCTTTTCTAATATATCTTTTCTAGTATACATGCTATAATAGTTCATGCGTATAATTTATAAATAATATACATATTGGGGGTATGTGTGGTCAAAAAGATTTTACCAGTAGGTGTTTGTGATTGAAAAGATTTGGAGGCCATTGAGTTGGACAACATAATTATTAGCTTCCTAGGTCATTATTAAAACAGCACAAAGGTAGCTGAAGTCTCCTCACTTCCCTAGTGCATATAAATTACTGTCTTACAGCTGTTAGAGGACATGACTTGCACAGCCTAATAGTTTATTTGTTTCCGAAGCACACAACAATTTGTGTTTCGTTAAATGGATTAAGTAAGTCCCTTGAGAGTACTCATTTGAATTATTCAGGATTTCCCCTGAAGAGAAAAATGAAACCTTTGCCAGAGAAAATGAAATCAATAAAGAGCTGAAGAAAAATAAGCATTGATGTTTTATAGCATATGCACTTTGACAATCCAGAAGATATTTATTACTACTCTATACCTTATGCAACTAATACAATGAATGTTTTAAAGATGTGACAAGGTCAAATGATAGAGCAATTAAGTATCTTAATGAAGTTCAAGAACAAGTCTGTGGAAAATCATGATGGAATTTTTTGGCTGGTAATACTCCAAGGGCCATTAAAAGTTACAAGAAACTATTTAAATGTTCACTAGTTTTGGGCCTCTTACTAAAATGTTATGTTTTTCTCAGACACTTGGGGGATCAAGAGGATTTTCTCTTCTTTGATGTATTCTATCTGCTCTAGGGTAAAAACACACATCACAAAATAAGCTTTTTTTATATTTAATTTTTAATGACATACAGCTGCTGGAGGGAATATTTTTTTCTCCTTAACATAGCACAATCCCACCCAGCAAAAGGATCATTTTTATTTTGCATTTTTGTTTTTACTACTGCTAAGGGACTAGAGAAAGGCATGGTTCAGCATTTTAGTCTGGGCAGACAGTTCCTCTCAAATATTTATGGCTTTGAAGTAGAGGTAGATTGAAAAAAAGATGTCAAAATGGTTTATCATCACAAACTGTTCCAGTGAAACAAACTTTTAGATTTCTCAATCCAACTGAAATACATTTTCTTATGGATTTTATGATATCCATTAGATTTATTTCATTTTTTTACCCTATTTACAAAATATAACAAGTAAAAATGCATATTATTTATATTGATGTATCTTTATAATACTATTGATGAAATACTTCACTTTTGTCATAGTGTTTTTTAAAATACTATGGGAAGCAACTGTTTAGTACTGATGGAAAATATCATCTTTTTATCAGAAGGTATAGAGAAGATCAAATAAATAGTTTACCAGTTAAAGAAGCTGTGTTTTCCAGTATGTTTAAATTAGGCTGGAGTTATTGTTCTGTGATATTAAAAACAACTATTCTATTCTCATGCAAGTCTGATTTATTAACAGGCAGAAAGGGAACTTTGAAGAAGAAAATATTTTTAATAATTACCCTTAATTACTAAACTATTTCAGGTATTATTGCATGGAATGCTATTATGTTCATGACTTCATCAATGTGGACATGCAGTGAGAATAGGTAGAATAATAAAAACATAGAAATGCGTATGAAATGAAATTTTGAAATTAAATATCAGCATGTTCCAAATTGCACATGGTTTTGACTTCCGTTTTAGACAAAATGTTAATATTTATTTTTATTCTTATTCATATGAAAAAATATTCAGAAAGTTGACCTGTTCCACAGCTTAAAAAGTTGACTTCAACCAACTCTTCCCCGAAGCGAAGAACAGAAAAACAGTTTAAATGAAGCAGGAGGCATACTATATTTGAATCTAGAGTTTTATACTCTGTAAATACCATTTAGTGTTCTGTAGCCTGTATTAAGTGTAACTTTGTGGGAGGCACTTACGCCTTTAAGGTTCCCCTGTAGTGTTTTAGTCTTAGAATATAAAGCACATTGGTGGGGCATGCTTAGTACAAAAATCCATGTGTTTCAGCCATGCTCTTGATATTATCGTTCTAATATCATAAACCTTGTGGAGCACTATTCACTTAACAATTACAAATGTTGTCTGTAATGTTACATATTACATTTTTACATTAACCTTTAAAGCTCTGTTCCTGCACGTACTTAAGCATGTAGCTAAAGTGAATTTAAATTTTCTCAGATAGACTTTCTAAATTCTTGTTAAATTAACAGGGAGCTTCAAAAAGCATGGAAGTATTAAAAACTAATCTAAACACAGTATCACATCTTTCTATGTTTAGCTTGTCAGAGAAATGCAAGTATGCCTAAGCGTATGGGATGATTGGCTTTACTGCATCAGTAACACCTGAATTGGTGTGCATCTTTGAAGTGCTCTACTGTAGCAAAGTTTTTCCTGTCTACCTGTTTTGAGTTAATCAGTTGAGACAGAAAGAAAAAGCTAAACCAGGAATTTTTTTCTCCCAGAACCAATGGTTTCTTACTGATGCGACTCTAAAGGTGACAATGCAAGTAGGAACTGTTTAAATAAATGGCATTTTTTTCTGCAATAAAGGGAGACCTGAGGCTATACTGGATGTTTTTGATCTGAGCCATGGGTACAGGTAGCTCCTTGTAAAAGAAATGGAAGACACATCGTTGGTGAATATTCTTTATATTATTATCCTGAGGGGATTTAATGCTTGCTTAATGTTAGATGGGAGAAAGGTGGGAGATACAGGATATGTTTCACTTTCAGCTCTGTATGCAGTGCTGGTACCTTTTATAGCAAGCTTGTGCATATAGTGCCCCTCTTGATAGCTGTATATAGTTGTTTTAAATATGATCTTTTCCCTCATCAGAAACAAGCTTGTGCAAGCTCGGGACTTCTCCCACAATTCCCGCAACATCAGCGGAATCTGTGTGTGGAACAGACTGCAATGTGCTCTAGGTGTATTCCTGTGGCTGTTGAATAAAATTCTTTTTGTCAGAGGAAAGTTGTGGCCAAACACCTTAAGATAAGGGAACAGACCAATGGAACAGCAAAGCTGTTTTGGGAGGAGGCTTTGCTGAGTTTTAGGAATTCCCCTGCTATATCTTGCAGACCTGTTTTTATTAAAATACTGTAGGTGAGCATTCAATTGGAGTAAACCAGTTTATTTTGAAGAAATTTCCTCGCTGCTAGACATGACTAATTAATACTGAAGCTTCTTTTTAGCTCTTTTGAATGAGGGGAAAAGCCAGTGAATGTTAAAGAAATGGGCATTCTCTTTATTAGCAGTCTGTCAAGTCATGCCTTTATTTACATTTTTCACCATCACTTGAAGCAGTTCTTCACCACAGCTTTGGTACTGCAGAGGGAGAACCCTTCCTAGGCATCCCTCTTTTGCTTGGTCTCCTTACACCGTTTGTAAAAGCTATACAGACATATTATCTGATACCGATTAAAATTATTGAGGTGAAGCCTTATCGCAGCTATGAACAGAAAGAAAGAAAGAAAGAAAGAAAGAAAGAAAGAAAGAAAGAAAGAAAGAAAGAAAGAAAGAAAGAAAGAAAGAAAGAAAGAAAGAAAGAAAGAATTAAAAGTAGGTGTGGTTAGGAAGGAAGCAAGTGCTGGAAAGAAGACAATCATTCAGAAATGTGAGGAAGGGGGGCAGGAGGAACAGATTAATAGAGCATGCAGAAGTCAGGGAAGATAAGTATAGCTATGATAAGTCCTCTGAATCCCAAATAATCGCTGTGCTCCATTTTAGAAATTTGTCAGATGTACAAATGAAAGTTTCACAATGATCTTCTCTCTTCCAATGAATAGAACTGAAGTCCATCTACATATTGTTGTGTCATGCATTGACCTATTTCTGATGACACTAGCAATGGTCACTGAGATGGAGGTGTGTGGCTGAGATGCTGATAATAACCAAGATCACTTTATCTGTATTTTTCTGTGACTGCTGATTATGCAGTTCTGTGCTCTGGATGGTTTTGGGCTTATTCTGGCTGCACAGTTTGCTTTTAAGGATACAAATGACTGCTAAACCGTGTGAATGACTGCTAAACCTTGTGAATTACTTAGCTGCATCCAGCAATTGGCTGACGCAGGACAGTTGGCAGTAGAGTCATTGACATAAGAGCACTATTTATATCTATTAGGAGGTCATTTGTTGGAGTCTCTTCAACTTTAGGTTGTGCTCCCATTTGGAATCCACTCGTGGAAGGATCCTATCTACCTGTTTGGAGCAGTTAATACCATGATGTGTCAGAGATTTTAATGAATTTGTTCTGAACCTTGAACTATTAATTTATCATCAAAGGATGTGTTAATGACAAGAATGGAAGACCCAAGATAAATGCTTTTAACAGCAGCAGCAGCTGATGTTCCTGTTTATTTAGTAATACCAAAGGCAAATCCCCCCAACAAATTGAAAGATTTAATTATAAGATCTTACCAGAATAATGTGCCATTTAGCTTGAGTTCATACTGCCAATGGAAAGTGAATAGGTTTTTTTCTGATTTTCATAAGACTGAAAAATACAGGACGCTAACTGCTTCCATACTGCATTGCAATCATGTTGGTGCCTGATAAGCTTGAACCTTGCCAAGAGGCAGCTATTGCTCTGTAATCTGCAATTTCCTATTTCTAGTTAGTTATCTGATATGCGAATTATTTTTTTCTAGAGTAGAATGAAAGCTTTTCACAGTGGGTAGGTTTTGATAATTGTTTTTAGAGGTTATGACTTTGAGCAAAAGGTGTTAGCAAAGGGAATTTTGTCACTTCCCCCCCTAAGTCATTAATAGGGAGAAGTGTTCTTGTATCCCACACAACAATCCCATGTTCTGAACTCATATTCAAATGAACTCTGATGTGAAAATAAAACCATGAGTAGAGTATGATCCCCATCCTATTAATAAACAGGGCTGCTTCTGTAACCTCAGAAAAATTCTTTATTCTTGTCCTTACTTTCCTCATCTGCATAAGTGGAAAATACCTCCCTGCAGGCTAGTTTCATGAAACTTGCATCACCAAGTGAAAAGTGCTTTCTTTTCTCAAATGATCTCAAAATGAAAGTACAAATTATTTTATTATGTCTATTTATTAAAATGTTTGGCTCCAGAATTTAAAGAATTATTTTATATCTTCTTAATCATTATTTGGCAGAATTGAACATGTCTGTTAAAACAGTAATTTGGCTCCAGCTAAATATAATTCATCAATGTCATTTGTTATCTTTAGATTAAACTGATTGCCAGAAGGCATCTCAGTAAAGCTGATATTACAGTTCAGTCACAGTTTAGGAGAGCTTTAAGTATGAACTTAAGTCTTTGGCAAATCCTTTCCATTGATGTTTAATCAGAGAGCTGGGCTGAATGGCTTTACTATGACACATAATTTGACGTAGTAGAAATCTTCCAAAAGAACATAATGAGCTGATCTCACTCCCTTTGAAGTCTGTGCAAGTTTTGTTGATGTTTTGATGACGCAGGACCAGGACTTACCATGTAAATTCTAGGAGTGATGTCTAGTAGTGTATAGTAGTGATGACACTGCTTTCATCATTATTTTCCTTAAAAATTAACACTATTAATCTCTGTAAGACTTGTGTGGTATTATATAGTCTATATTACATTTTTTTAGAGGGAAATTTTATCTTGCTAATTATTATATATATATATATATATATGTATGTATCCATACACATATCCATTTTTTGCAGGTATTATTGACAGCACGCAGGTGGAACAGAGGCAGGTTGTAGCTGTGACCGGTGATGGAACCAACGATGGACCAGCACTTAAAAAAGCTGATGTTGGCTTTGCAATGGTATAGTCTTCATGAGTACTATTTTGCTTGGGTAAAATACGTCACTAGTTGTAAAGATGTCTTCCCAGCATACTCTGACTCTGAGGACCTTCATATACTAGACTATGTATCAAGATATGTAATTCTAGTTTTTGTTAGCAATTCTGTTGATGTATATTAATAAAATACCATCAATGATAAAAATAACTCAGAAGAACAGTAATCGTTAAGCTGATAATTTAAAACACTCAAAACTATCATCACGTGGATTCCACTGCTCTCTATCAATTCCCTTTTCTGCGTCCTTATGCACTTTCACAAATAGGCCAAATTTGCTCACTTCCTAGCAAATAATAAAATGCAGAATATACTCAGCAGTCACTGTTGCTATACTGGGAAGTCTGAATAACTGAACTTTGAATGCGTATGAAGATTTGTATTCTAACCTTCTCTGTACTTTCTAGTCGGTCATTTTGTTCACAATTAATTTTTTCAGGGTATTGCTGGAACAGATGTTGCAAAGGAAGCCTCCGATATCATCCTAACAGATGACAATTTCAGTAGCATTGTGAAGGCTGTAATGTGGGGGCGTAATGTCTATGATAGCATCTCCAAGTTCCTGCAGTTCCAGCTCACTGTTAACATAGTGGCTGTGATTGTGGCTTTCACCGGAGCATGCATTACCCAGGTAAGGTTAACTTCAGGTGTTGCTTAAAGTATGGAGCCAAATTTTACCAGCCTATATTTTCTTTTGGGTAATGGTGGCTTACATTTTTTTTCTTACTTTGTACAACAGAAAGCATGCTTTCTGAAAGCCTTCTGAGTGTTATTTAGTCTCAAGCTGCTAAATGTTAAATAACTGTTGACATAAGGAGGTGTACTAATCCATCTTCAGGAAGTAAATTGCTTTTAGGAGCTGCTAATTTTTGTGCTGCCTCCATATAGCTCCCTGTTTTAGATTATATATTATTATCATGACTGAGCCTCTGATGAGAGAACAGAAAATGTCAGGGACTGGAGAAGGATGAATTTATGTGACTTTGCCTTTTTGTCTCAGGATATTTCACTATTAAATACATTTTTTTGTGGGATTATGGAATGGGATTATTGTTTTCAAGAGAGCAATACTGACACATGGAAGTAATCCCAGCAGGGGATCTTTTGGATGGTTAAAATTATTTTGTTGCTTTCAGGCAATTCCTTTTATTTTCAGATGCAAATGACAAACCAATTGGATCACACATACAGTTGGACTTTGTTCGCTTTTTCTCCCTCTACATTAATCCCTGATTGCAATCTTGGTCTACATGCAACACGTCTAGGCCTTTTACAAAAAGCATATGTGAAAGCAAACCACGGGGTTTTTTTCTCTTCAAATTACTACTTTTTGATTAATAAAATTGTTTTATTTTTCCTAGAAAGAAAACATAACATATGTAGTACAGTGTGAGGTTTTGTCCTTCTTTAGAAAATTGCAAACAATGTGATTTTTAGTGCTGTCACTCCCTAAAATAATGTATATTCCAGATGCTGCAGACAGGTGCATCCTTCGACTGAGACACACTATGGGAAAGCTGATGCTTTCCTCTGTTGTGGATCACACAGATGCACATCCCTGTTTCAGCAGGTAGATTTCACCTTATGCACACCTGAGAAAAAACAATGAATAAGTCATTAGCTCTGCTCCACGGTAATCTTACATTGTAATCATGGAATCGATACTTGAAACCAGAAACCCAGGTACCTTTATAAAACCATGAGGTCGAACTTCTCCTGAGGCTTGACTGACATTTAGAGGCCTTTTTTGAGCTGCATGAGGAGTCTGCAAGCTCCCAGTTTCTTCTGGCACCATGCAACAGCTGGGTAGATACAACTGCCATCATGTAGCTTAGCTAAGTGAGCTACAGCTGGCGCTAGGGCTGGGATTCCCAGAGAAATCAGAAATGGCTGGTTTTGAAGCAAGTGGAAGTGATCTTAACAAATAAAATAACTTTTATTCTGTATAAAGGAAGCTCTGAAATGTCAATTCACTTGTTTTCCAAGAAGTAAAATTTGTGAGCTGCTAAGTGCTAGATCTCTACCCTACCCAGGCCTTGGTGATGCCCTGCTGGCACAATTGAGCCTGTGCTATGGGACAAAATTACTGATCTGGTAACAGACGTTGGATAATTCTTCCCTTGGGAAATATTACCAAGCATATTGAGAAAATGTTTAGCTGTAAAATGATTGTTGCTGGTAACAGAATGTATGTGAATAAGAGCTTGAAGTCTGGAAGGTCAGTCCTCCTGGATTATATCAGTGGTGCAAAACTGTACAGAAAAAAGTGCTAACAGCAATGTGGTAAGAATACCATAATTGGAACTGAGGCGAGGGTTTCCTTTTAAGACCCTGTTCTATAGACATTCAATCATTGCCTACTAAAATTTATTTAAGGTCAATTTTTTTTGGTTAATGTCCAGCATTTTTTTAGTTGCTTCAAGAAAGCATGAAGGAAAATATATTCTATTTGTTAACTAAGAAATTTCTATTTTATTCTTTAAAGAGATTAAACATTACTGAATCAGTGCAACGACTATTTCAAATCAAGTCTAAGTGCACGTGTCATGCATAATCATTGCAAGCAGATTTCCCTTTCTAATTCCAGAGCTTTCTTCATCCTTTGGATCATTCCACTGAATTCTAGAAAGATTTGGATAAGTGTACTTACATTGTCCCAATGGTCTGTAGACCATCACTGAGCCTGTCAAGTCTATTGTCCCTGTTCATAGGTTTTAATGTACACCTCCTATAATTCCTGTATTTCTGTCCAGATAGATTCTTATGCAATTCCTTAATTTGGCAGTAAAAATGCAAATCCAAAGGAAGAGGTCTGAAAGGAGCTAAAATTGAATTTGTAGCCAGAAGACAGCAGTTATTTCCTTTGTAGTTCTGTTTACACTCACCAACCTGACTGCTGATAATCTCAAGTAGCTCTCAGTTCTGTCTCATTCAAGAATGAACTTGCTTTACGAGTCAACATTATTATGTTAGGCTTTGACTGAAAGACTTTAGCCAGTGAAAGGCATTATGTTTGTTTGGCTCATAAGCTTTACTAAAAATTACACTTGAGAACACACTGTACCCTCTGGTTGCTGTGAAAATAGCTCTAGCACAAAGTGCATGAATATACAAAAAAATCTTGTATACAACAAGGTAGGCACACATACATAGATCTATGTCTGCAAAACTGTACACAGGTCTCAAATTAATATTTTGGCTGAAACATTTAAGTTCTTAACAAATAACAGAAGCTAAAATCTATAGTTTCCAAAAGGCAACACAGCTTTCTATGACCTTCAAAATTAATATAAAGAAGGTCCACACTGGACTCAATTTTACTTTGTTTTTAGGTAGTCAGTTTGACTTTCTTTGACACACAGAATATAATTTTAGTCCCCAGTTAATATTCAGGTTAATGAATATTACACAGGCTATCTTTTTGGTGATATTTCATCAAATCTAGAATGAGAAAAGTGCTATGTAGGTAGTAACAGTTCTTTCATGCTTCTTAACGTCACTTCTCAAAAAACTGCTCATCAGTTTGGAAGCAGCATATTGGGATGCTTTGAGTATGAATCTTCTTTCACGCTTAACTACTCTCATTGGTGTTTCTATTATTTGTGCTTAAAGGAAGTACAAAGATAATAAAATATTTGTTTTGACTCTTTTTTTTTTTTTAATACAGCTTGTGCTTTGCAAGAAAATAGACTTATTCAGTCTTGATCCTCCAATTACATTGGTGTGCATGTAGATAGGTGTATGTGATCGTATCACTGCAGGACTCCTAGTGAAACCACAGCAACTCTGTATTAATGAAAGGGTCTGACTGTGTACTATTATGAGTGAAACTAGACCTGCAAGGAGCACCCAGAGAATGCATTGCCAAGGAGGATCTGAATTGTTTGGTCCAGAGCACCTTAGGAGTGCCGTGGATAGCCTTAAGAAAAATACTAGGTAGAACCTGTGACCGTTAGTGGTCATTTTAAGAATCTGCTGCTTTTTATTCTCAAATACATAAATAAAATCAATGTCCTTGCTAGTTCTACCTCAGGGAACTACTGTTTAGCTTAATTCTGTTAATTTTAAGCAAATATTATTTTATTATTTATCTACCCAGTGCCTGCTTCAGCAAGATTCTGCTGTTAGAGGGAATATCTACCATATCTTTTCTATTTTGTCCTGGTTTGCTGTTTCAATAGATGTTTAACTACATGTACAAAGTGTATGCGACCCTACACGCTACTCCAGTGTTACATAAGGTTTATAAAGGAGTAGCAGTAGGCTGTTAATGTAGTTATAACGGGACCATTGCAAATGGTCATTTGCTATTCTCCATCATGGGTCCCCGCACAAAGTCACATTAAGATGACAGAAATCATAGTCTAAGCAGCGTAGGAATTACAGATACAGTGTCACCTGTTGGCAAGTTTAGCACAGCTGCTGCCAAAACTAAGCTGTCCCTCACAGGGATCTAGCTTGGGACCTGTTTTAGTATACATCAGCTCAGTGTTTAAGCAGAGTTCTAAATTTTCAAATAATGATGAACTTCTGTGTTGTGATTCTACAACTACATAAAGCACTCTGAGATCTAGGTCATACAAGAAAACCAAGCTTGAAGATTAAAAGCTGAATCAGGATCACTCAATCTGTGGCTGCATAGGTGCTCTTAATTTCGTGTCCAGTGTGTAGATAACACCCACCAATGAGATCAACAACTGTTATTTCTGCTAGTCCCATGTCAGTGCAGTTTGTGTGGCACAGTGCAGCTGAGCTGTTTAACTCACCTTATCTTTGTGTTAATCTAATTCATTTACCTCTGGTTTCCTTCTCTCTGTGTTGCCCAATGCATACTTTTAAAATGATCAGGGTGTGGTTAGTTTGCATAAAATTATCCTTTCCGTTTAGTAACCATTACCTCAGGTTAAACCAATAATTTATTTTTCCAGTGGATTTATGAGATATAAACTCTTATGTTCTGACTTCATTCTCTGAATAACATTTTTGCAGAGTCCTTGATTTGACTCAGTGAGGGTTCTTTGGAACTCTGCCTACAATTACTGTGAATTTAGTACTTCAGATGAGTCATTGCTCACATCTCTAGGTGTCATATAGATTTCTATATGTGCCTTACAAAGCCAGAACATTTATCCTGTTTCCTGTCCCCAACATAAAGGCAGTAACAAGAAAATACTAGGTCATTATGTTTGGAGCTGTTAGAAATAATCTGGGTATGTACAAAATAAAGATTTTAAAATGCAGTTGAGTCAAATGGAAACAGTTTTTTACTGGAACTATAAAGCTAGCATGTTTATCTCGGTGCCAAATTTTGTCTGTCTCTCCAACTGTTGAGGCGATGTAATTATTCAAAAGGATGCATTAAAGATAGAGAAGACAAAGACTGTGTTTTAACATTTTACATTCAAATTATTCTTCTCGTACTTTAAGAAAGACTTAATGTTTTAGCAGACATTGGGAAATAAAAACAGTGGGTCTATAGGACATGATGTTTAGAAAGTTAAATGTTAATTAAAATGCACTGTAGCGTGAATCACATTGTTTTTACAGATCTTGTTCAAAAAATGAGGATGATCTATACTTACATGTATAAGGCAGTAATTTACATGGTTATAATGTTTTGCTGTGGCACTGTATTTGGCAAATCCTAAAATAATAGCACTGGCAAATTTGAAAAACCTATAATAAAAAAGCAAAGTGTGTACTGTTGAGCTTTGTTTTGGGAAGGCTTAGAGGAATGGAAATAGAATTGAGGATGCACTTCAATACCATTAGTAGACAGTGTGATCTAGCAGCAGAAGTGAGGGCTGACACTTTTTTGCATTAATGTATATAAAGTTAACCTACCAGAAATGCTCATTTTTATGAATCCATGCATGTGTTCTGTGACAAGTGGGAGTAAAGATATAAGGGTGAAAATACCTTTATATTCCCTTGCAGCTTGTCACCTAAATCAAAAGTAACAAGCTCTAAAATTTCTGAGGCTCTGCATGTCACAAAAGATTTGTAGTTTATTTGCAGCCTTTGGCGATTTGTACTTTTAAGTGTTTCCAAGATGAAGTGTAACATCACTTGATTTAAGGAACATTTTCCTTTTACCTCTAGGCCAATGCTGACCTATTCCAAGGTCAAGTGGAAAGGAATTTGACAAATAAGTGCTGATTTTGGGTGGTTTGCAGTTTGAACAGCTTTCATCCCCCAAATTTTCAGAAAGTGAATTAAGAATTGTTAGCTAGTCATTTAGTGGCTAAAATGCAGTGAAAAGAACATTGAATTTGCATCCCACTTGCATAAGTGACTAAAATCTGTAATGGAAGACTAAGCTCCTTAGCTGATACGGATTTTCCTCAGTTTCCACCAACTTATCAGAAATCAGATAGAGTTGCAGTGGAAATTTCATTCCACTGCCTGCCCAGACTAATGTGTATTTAATGTTTTGGCTTCAGCTTAGAATGAGCTTTCACACTTGACTGAACAGTGTAGCACTGCCAATAATAGATAATTATTAGGGGCGCCATAGCCACCCAAGGTGATTGGCAGTGTGAAATGGTGAGAACATGTTGTTGCCAAAACTGATGACTGCCAATTACAGTTGTGATTTAGAGACTGAAATAATCTGATTTTTTGCTATGCTAAGAATATGTCAGGCTTTGCGTATTTTGACTCTATTTATTAAACATAACAGACAAATTCAGTTTTATTGACATAGAAGTTAGCACAGGAAGCAGAAATTCAGCGATTGTAACATCTCAAAGTAGAGAATGTTTCTCAAGGAAACTTTCTAACTAGACAGGTAAGAACATGGCAAGGAAAATTCTTCAGTAGAAAACACATTTTCCTTTTTCTCTATATACTGTGTCCAAGACTAGAGTGTCTGAGCCCTAGCAACAAACAGTGCAAGTAGCCATTAGCATTAATAAAAATATATGAGTCTTAATTTGGAACAAAGCTTGTTCTGATTGCTTCTAGTTTTTTAGCTACCTCTAAAGACAAAGACGTTTCCAGTTTCTGCAGATGTGTATCAAATGAGCCAAACTCTCCAGATAAAACCAGTTAATGCAACCCATAACCAAGAGGTTAGGAATCTGTTAATGCTAATCTTCCTCCCTTCCCTGATGTAGCCAACCTGTAAGATTAGAAACAGTAGGTTGCTTTTCTCCATCCCTTTGAATAAGCTAAACCTGAGTGATTTTTATGAATAAAATGTATCAACATTTGTGTAAAAGTAAAGGTGTTAAAAATATATTTTCAAGAGGAAATAATATTTTCTCTCAAGAGAGAGTTGGAATATAAACCAGATCCATAAGAGACCAAAACACTTACCCTTGTTCTCCATATGTCCTTGGGATACTAAATGGATATTTGCCCTCATTATTTCATATTATTTCATTAAAAATAAGCATTTAGCCCTCTGAAGAAAAGGATGGAGTTCACAAGGTATTTTTATTGGTTTTGATTTGGCTTGTATGCTGTTCCATATATTTCTTTGCTTCACTACTGCAGCACCATGGTAATGTAATGCATAAAAATTGTGCCCTGATCTTCCAGCTTTCGCACTGTACATTAACTCCCTTCCATTATAAAATTTGTCATACTGATACCTATTACTTTTGAGATTCTGTTTTCCTAATAAAAGCTGTCTATTTGAAGCAGGAATCAGACCTTACAGATGCTGCCTGTATTGTATTCAGTATAAAGGTTGTTAGATACCTAAAAAAGAACCTACTTCATTTTCCTGATACGGCTTCTTCAAGCGATAGTATCTATCTATCATTACAGCTGCCCCAATGAATTACAAATCAAAACTTTATAATAGTCGTCTAGAGTTTCCCTGAGATCTGTGTTAGTTTGCTTTATTTACTTTTGGGGTTTTTTAAAACATGATCCAAAGTCCTCCGTAATGTGACCATAGACTCTTTCTTGAGTTAAGTGAGGAAAGAGCTCCTTCTAGTGGTTGGTGATCTGCTTCAAAGAATAAATACTTCATCCTGACAAGTAGTAATGTGTTGGGTTTTTTCTTTCCAGTTCTGTAGTTTCAAATATGCTATCCTGTTACCCACTAAAATAATAAAGACTTTCTTACTTTTGCACTTTTTATATAGTTTAATGAGTTTCAGAATATATTTTAAATACAAGTATCAGGCATTTTTTTGTCACTGCTTTTTTAAAAGGGTTTATTTAAGTAAGCTGTATTAAAATGTCTCAGTAATTGTTTCATGAATCTTTAATAATTTCAAGCTATTTCTGAAAAAATAGATGGGAAGGTTGTAGTAAAAGAAAACATTACTTTTCAAATTCTTTCAGTATCATTTTCTTGTAGGGAAGAAACTCCCATTTGTATTATCTAGTTACCTAAATTCAGCTGAAAATTTAATACGATGCATGAAGTAACAGATAGTACTGTAAAATGTATTACAAAATGTTAATGTTATGCTTTGTAAGAATTATGTGGTTGTAAATATTTCTGATTTAAATGTCTAGAGAGAAATAATTTGTCTTTGCATAGATCACAGTGCTTCCTGTGATTCTGGTCTTGCCTAAGAAATACAAAAAAGGTCATAGTGGCTCAGAGCAGAGGTCCATGTATTTTTGTATCCTGTCTGCATCACTACTTGCATTCACACAGGAAGGAATTAAATCACAGTAACTGACCTGACAAGGATTTTTCTAGCAAATATATAACTTTCTAATTTGTCTCCACAGGACTCTCCTCTAAAAGCTGTACAGATGTTGTGGGTCAATCTAATTATGGACACCTTTGCCTCTCTTGCTTTGGCTACCGAACCTCCAACAGAGGCTCTATTGCTAAGAAAGCCATATGGCAGGAACAAACCCCTTATATCCCGCACCATGATGAAGAACATTCTGGGCCACGCTGTTTATCAGCTTACTCTCATATTTACTCTTCTTTTTGTCGGTAAGAATGTTTTCTAGGCTTGTTGCTTAGTTTAGAAGCATCTAGGTCTCGTAGCCTGACAGGTTAAAGTGCTTTAAATGTAACCACATAATGCACATATATTAAGTCTGTCATAGTTAAACTGCTAGTAGGACCAAGCTCTTTAATGGAATCAGAAACAGGAGGGGAATCAGAACAGATGCAGTAGCGGGATTTACTCACCTTTCATATGTTGTTTACATTGGGAAGGGCCTCAGTGAGCTCTTTTGCCTCCTAACAAAACATAGGTTTGGGCTTTGGCAAAAATTTATGTTAAAACATAGAATAGAAGTTTACATTTTAATCAGACTATCTAGCCTGCTACGTCTTTACTGAAATTTCATTTGGAGACTTGTCATCCTTAATGGCCATGTAACAACAAATTTAAAAAACCCTGACTAAAATCAAGATCCATTTTACCAATATCTGGAGAAGCTCTAATCAGGAGCAAATTGTTTGCCATAGTCAAGAAATTATGCTGATCTTAACTAGTACAGTAATCAGTATTAAATAATACAAATAATCTGTTTTGACATTTAATTTCTAAAACAGATATTAAAGGGGGAAAAAATCCAATTTATTAGATTACTGGACTCTTCTTCAGGCCTTGCTAGCAACGGATGCCTGCTATAAGTTCTATTTTGGAAAGGGGAGGGAAGGAGGAGGAATGTTTCTTGCTGCAGGGAATAGTAGGGGCTAATTTTGTTGCCCCACAATAAGTGAACCTGCTCAAAGGACTGATAATCTTTCCAACTGCTTGTTGTGTTCTTGTCATTGTATCACTGCTGTTAAATTACATGTGTTGTCTTTCAGATTTTTTTCTTTATATGCAGACTTCCATATAAGCTGTAAATGTAGATTTATGGGTTCTTAGGAGTGTTTTGAGCTCCGTTGTGAAAACCTTATCAGCTGGCAGTTTATTTGGGATGCTCAAAGAAGATGATGGTCTGTTTACAGGGGAGCTATTTAAACCAAAATAATTGCCAGGTTTTGAAGAGAGATGGTCTGTAATATTGCTAGGCTCAAGTGTATTTTGAGAATTTCTAGTGAGTCTAAGGAAATTGTAATTTCAGATTCTCTAAAATAGGTGTTAGAAGGTCTTGGTAATTCATGTGATATAAATCTTGGAACGAGAACTTCTCTGAACTGTATGGGGAGTTTTAATGGCTTTTTGATGAGTTTTATGGTTTAAAATACTTTATACTCTGCTCCGATGAAAAGAAAACCAGGCTTTTTCACCCTATTGTAATTACTTCTGTGTATCTCTGGAAAACCCATGCATACTTTGAAGGACACAGCCCGACCAATTTTCTGATAAGCCTAGGAAGTACAGTCTTTCCTCTCTAAAATCCACGAGACTCAGCTTTGCAGTGAGATGATGTTCCAAACTCAGTTTTTCAAGAAATAAATTTCAAAATAATGGCAATTATTTATATTTTGTTCAACTAATACTTAATTTTTTGTAGTAGATTCCTGTAGAGACTAGTACATCAAGGTTTTCTTTTTTTTCCATGATGTGGCAATAAGTGCCTTGTGTTTGAACATACAGTAATGCCTTTGAGATGTCAGGCACATCAGAAATCCAGAAGTCACTTGTCTAGTTCTGTCAAACTGTAGTATAAAAAAAACCTTAGCCTCAGCAACTAGGCGTAATAAACTTAAAGTTGATGTACTATAAATGCCTTTTGGAACATATTTCGAAATAAAAACTAGTTATGGGTTTAACTGCTGCCATTCTGCAATAGCAGCATGTTCCGCTTTGCCAATTAAGCAATGTGATGCAATGAGAGAGTTAAGGACAGGTACTCTCACTGAGGAAAGTATAATTTCTATGTTTGTGTGAGTATTGGAGGAAAGCTAATAGAAGTAATGTGTGTATATATGTGTATGTGTTTATCTACAGAAGATAAAACGATTACAATCTCTTTGCTTTCATTAATTTTTTTCTTTTATTATTTATATGCATTAAGGGGAATGTTTTCCCATACTTTGTTATCTCTCTGCAAATGTATAAACTTCTTGAGAATCTCTCCTCTCCCTCAGTCTGTTTTGTGGCCTCATATTGTATTACTGATCTATCTATCTATCTATCTATCTATCTATCTATCTATCTATCTATCTATCTATCTATCTAATGTGATACTGTAATCTACTTTCTGTCAAAAGAGTAAAAGCCAAATCTTTCTTTGGAAACATGCTCATTATTCCCAGTGACTTGAAGATGAACTGCTCAAACATCCCAAGGCAAAAAATGATGGAATTAACGACCTCGGGAGAAAACCTGAGGGAATCTTTCTTCTTTCTCCAGAAATTCTGAATACAATGCTAGTGAGATAACAAAAGTGTTCAAGTTTTAATTTCCTTTTTATTAACAAAACACTGGTTATGAAAATTAGTATTGTGATAATCTTTATTCTTATTTCTTTCATTATTTACACTTTCATGTGATGCCCTGTCCTTGCTTTAAGACAATGCCTCTTTCAATAACTGTTATCTGTAAACTTTGCCTATCAGAAAGTGGATGAAAAATTCAACATGAGCTGGCAGTGTGCACTCACAGCCCAGAAAGCCAAATGTATCCTGGGCTGTATAAACAGAAGTGTGGCTAATAGGTCGACAGAGGCGATTCTCCTCTTCTACTCTGCTTTTGTGAACCCCCACCTCGAGTACTGGACACCAGTGCAAAAAAGACATGGACCTATTGCAGGTCCACAGGAGGAAGCACAAAACTGATCAGAGAGCTGAAACAGCTCTCCTGTGAACAAAGGCTGAGAGAGTTGGAGTTGTTCAGCCTGGAGGTCTCTGAGAAGCCCTTATTGCAGCATTTCAATATATAAAGAGGGCTTACAAGAAAGACAAAGGGAGGCTTTTTACCAAGACCTGTAGTGACAAGATGAGGGGTGACAGTTTTAGACTGAAAAGAGAGTAGGTTTGATTAGATATAAAGAAGAAATTCTTCCCTGTGAGGGTGGTGAGGCCCTGGCACAGGTTGCCCAGAGCAGCTGTGGCTGCCCCCTCCCTGGAAGGGTTCAGGGACAGGTTGGACGGGGCTTTGGGCAACCTGGGCTGGTGGAAGGTGTCCCTGCCTTCAAATCAGCTGCTGAAGAGTGGTTGCTCCTAATTATTGTAGAAAATTGCAAATATACTGTCAGTGGTCTCAAGTGCTTGGTACATCAGAAAGAATGGACTTCTTAGAATAACTACTACTTGATTAGAGGAAAAGTACTACTGAAAACTATTTGCATAACTATACTGAGTTATTAGATAAAAGTTGTAATTTGAGAAGCTTCTTGCTCAGGAAGTTTTAGATGTCTTTCGCTCTCTGGTATTATAAATTCTGCCTGTGTTACAGTAAGTGCAGAAAGAAAGCTGGTAAAGCAGAGCACATGAGGCAACTAGCTAAAGCAAACAAGGGAAATATAAATTTGATGGATTTATTCTAGTGGAAACCTTTATTTTTGTCTTATACCCAGGTGAGAAAATGTTTAAGATTGACAGTGGGAGGAATGCACCACTTCACTCTCCTCCTTCAGAGCATTACACCATTATCTTCAACACCTTTGTCATGATGCAGCTTTTCAATGAAATCAATGCACGGAAAATCCATGGCGAAAGAAACGTCTTTGATGGCATCTTCAGAAATCCTATTTTTTGCACTATTGTACTGGGTACATTTGCTATTCAGGTAATGATTTTGGCAAGAATATGTAACTGTTCATCAGAAGTTCACCTTAAGGGTTTTTTTTCTGTGTTTTTCTTTGAAATCTAAACACTGTAGAGGCACACTTAATAGTAAACCACCTGGTTTCACCTATTTTCTAAATCAATACAGCTGTCAATAATGAAAAATATTATGTAGCCATACTAATACAGCACAAATTTTGATCATTATAACTGGGTCAAATCTTAAATTAATCTGAAGATATACAATAGTAACAGCCATCATGATTTGTTGATATTGTAACTGGGTTTTCTTTTAGAAGATGTTATTAAATAGTACCAAACAATAGCAACAAAGCATTTTACATTAATTTAGTACTCCATGAATAGACAAATTTGCCTTCAGATAGCAAAAACTAATCTGTTCTGAGACTAAATGCCACTGCCAAATGCTACTCAGTGTTCTCATTAATACTACTAATTTGTAGAAATCCTTCATGTCCATCTTGTGAGTTTGCTGTCCCAGTTGTATCTGAACATAATTACAGAAATACACACTTTTTCCAAACAGGTGTAATTTTTCTTCTGTAAAAACTGTAATTTCTCCTTCTGCTCCTGTATCCATCCATTTGCTGGCATCTATACTGTACTTGATACCATTTGACATTACCTTTGAGAAGTCTACTGCAGCCCTCCTGATTGCTTAGAGCTGTTTCTATCTTGACATTATTGCAATGGCATCCTGGAAGCTATCAGCATTGGGACCTTTCTCATGGAAGGAATAAGGAGGAGGATAGAGCTATTTGAATCTGGACTATAGTGGTTTGAAATAGGAATTGGGGACCACTAGGTATGGGAGAAAGGACACCAGTGATTGGTAGTAGAACCTGATAGTGATGGTCTTTAACACGTAGTTCAAAACGATGGGTTTACTCCATGAACTAAAATGCCTTTAGGAGAGCCTGACAAATCCACAATTATCTCTAATTTATTTATTTTTTTAATCATAGGTCATGTTTGAGGATGTTTTCTTAGTTCTAGGCATTGTGGTGCTCAGTTATCTGGCGGAAGAAGGGTCATCTAGCTGCTAGCCATGTTTCTGAGTCAGCTGCTGACTTTACTTACACTTCCCTGCTTACCTGGTAGCTGAAATAGTTGAGTGCATAGTTCAAAACACTAGGTTTACACTTTGACAGAGAATGTACAAGGATATTGTAGCAGAAGAGTACTTAGGCTGTGACTCTTACTTGCTCTTAAGTTTCTTTATAAAATTAGGTCATTCTGGGGGAGACAACAGAAGGTTAATCATTCTATTAATTTTCTTTGTTTATTACAGTGTGGAAATACAGCTTTGCATAATGTTGCTTGTTGAAGGACTGTCAGAAGAGTATTTATTATTTTGGCTGTGTGTTTTAATAGCTAGATGTGTGCGCCAAGCATTTTATTCTAAAGAGAAAATTATTGTCTCCAGGACCTTAGATTATGTAGACGCATATGGGAGATTACATAAGTGTTTTTATTTCATATTGAAAACTTTCTTAGTTCCCTGTTGTTTTGCCAATTATTAGGCCTAGCATAAAGGACACAGCCAGCATAAAGATGAACCAATAACCAAGTCGTATTTGATACAAAAGGGTCAGTACATGGATGAGCACTGGGTGTACAAACAAGTCAGATTATACATAATTGACATCAATCCCACTGACCCCAACAACGACACCACACAACCAACAATGGGTGGAATAAATGGTGACATGCAGTTTCCCATAGAAGGAGACAACCGAGTCAATAAGCCAAACACATCAGACCAAGGAAGCCACACACTGAATCTCTACACAGCCCACATTTACAAGAGCCAGACCTGAGTGGAGCCCAGTCCCAGGGAGGCGGGAGGTCCTTCCCCAACAGGGAACTCTGCACAGGGCACCCACCTCACAGACAGACACTGCCCCTCCTGCAATGGTCCCAGCTTTATCCCTCAGTGGGACACCTGACCTTTGTTACTGACTGCGGGACCCCTGGGGCTCCTTTACCCAATGGCTCTGTCTGCCAGGCCGGCGCACCCTGGAGGGAAGCCTAAAGGTAAACTCACCCCCCTTTGGGAAGGGCTGTGGGAATCACCCACATGTCAACCTTAACTTGGGGCTTGGGGTTGAAACCCCAGAATTTCACCTGTGTATTTACTACACTTTCTGTGAAGTACAGACTAATTGCCTTTCATATTTCATCTTTGAGTGCAATAGTTCCAAACTTAGTTTAGTTTAGTCCTTCTAAACCCCTCCAAAAAGAAAAAAGCCAGCAGGAGTGGCCAAAAATATAGAGACTATTACAAGGCATCCTTGAGAAGGATTAGAAAGTGCTTCTGAGAGAGCTACAACAGTTTCTGAAATATAATGGTAGCTACCACTCCTGTCCTCAGGCAAGCAATAGCTTTCTTTTATTTTTTAATTCCTTTCTCATCTTTCAGAATAAATAATGAAGGTGGACTAAAATATACCATACCTACCATTTAGAAATTTCTCAATGTGTAATTGTAATTTCACAATTTTTGTTTTGTCTCCCTTCTCTTTATTCTCTGCAATCATCTTCCCACTTCCTATCCACTGCCTTCCATTCTCTGTCCCCTTCCTTCTTGTGTATTTGCACTTTGTATGGAGTTTGCGCTCACTCACACAGCAAAGCAATTGCTTTATGTATTACTGTTATTCTGTATTTTAGACTGGACAAATTACTTTGAACTTTTGTTTTGCAGCCTTTGGCACTTTAAATTCCTGGCTTGTGATTTCAGGTCCCTGGTTCTGCAGAACCACTACTAACAAAAAATATCAATAATACCTGATTTTCAGTTAGCAAAACCTTCTCAATCTAGCCAGGTTTAGAAACTTGTTCAGATTCTGTGTCTGTAATCCTGCAAGATGTGTGGTTTTCCCATCCTGTTTCTCCAAAAGGACTAGATTTTGGGTATGCTGTCAGTGCATCCATGACAACACATCTATAAGTGTACAGTAAAATTTTCATTAGAGGAATTGCAATGGGCAGTCCAAAATAAACTATGATAGGGTCACCATATGCCCAGCTGAGAATACCCAGAAACTGGGAGAATGCATGGGGACAGTCCTGTTTTCTTTCTTCCCAGGCATTTATATAGGACTGTTGTTAGCTATGAAGCTAAGGAAGCCATAGTCTGAACTGGTATGGCTTTTTCTGACCTTTAATTCAGGGTGCACAAGTTTGCGTGGCTTGATTTTTAGTGACTGAGATTCTGCAGCTTTCACTGGATGGGTTCCAAAAATGTACTTCTGGTAGCCTGACTTAGTGTCACCTAAGAGTGTCAAATGACACATTTGGAATTTAAGATAGATTCAGTCTATCTTTAGATTCAGTCCACTAAATAATAGATGGTTAAAAATATGTTTGAATGTTCTATTAGTAAAATATGTTGGAATCAAACAAGAAGAGCTGTACTACTTAGAAAGACAAAGTAAAATCTCAAGTAAAATATGACTGAAATTTATTGCCGTTTTTCTGCGGGTTTGTGGTTTTTGAGGAGGGGGATTGGGTTTTTTGGCTTTTCCCCCAGAAACATTTACCCCCTTTCTTCTCTGCTTTTCCTTGTAGATAGTAATTGTCCAGTTCGGAGGAAAACCATTTAGTTGTTCTCCCCTGCAGCTTGACCAGTGGATGTGGTGTGTATTTATTGGATTAGGAGAACTTGTGTGGGGTCAGGTAAGCATTCAGCAACATGCACATTTTTTTCTTTTGTTTTTATAAACCAGTCAATGACATGTAATTGTTTATAATCGTACTGTACTGTTGTTTCCTTGTCTCTCACAATGTCATATTTAGGGCACATCGAAATACAGGGTGCTCTCTAAGTACTTCAAGAACAGATATAGTAGTAAGGAGAATTAATCCCACTGTTCCTTTTGATTTTTGATAATTTTCATACCTTTTCTTTCCCTAAGCAGGGTGTGCTATAACCAAGGTCATCTTCAGTTAGGCTTTTTCAGGAAAGATGTTTGATTCCTAACCTAGTTCTCTAGTCACAAAAATAGTATAGTAAGGGCAAATGCACTGTTAACCTTTCCTGCAATAGAGTACCCAATATAGCATGTGTCTGTTCAGCCATGGCAAATTTCTGAAAGTGAAAAGAAGTTCCAGTTCCATGTCAACTCACTCATTCCCTTGCTGAAACTGCCATTCTATCAGTCCATGGTAGCCTTGTTACTGGCACACGACTAAGTCCAGTGTGTTTAATACACGCCTGCAGTGATCCTCCATCCACCTACTTCTGTATGTGAAGGATGGAAGAGGGACTTTTTCCTATAATTTGCAGAAAAGTGCAGTTTACTTCATGTGTCATTTTATAATTCCGCTACAACCTGTCATTGTTAGCTAATATAAAATTATATAGAGATGTAAAAATAAGTGTCAATGAGATCATTAAAGGAGTTATGTTGTTATGTTAGCTTTCAAAACTGATTATTTGTTCTCCTATGGAAAAAAATATCTTTTGGACAGTTGGGCCTCAGAATTTTTTGAAGAAGTAAGCTCAGAGGAATGATAGCCTTTAATACATATGCTGCTGAAAACCACTATTAGATTGTTCTACTGTAATTATTACCTGGAGATGGGATTTGATTTGTGACCTTGCAGGAGGAAGACTTAAAATCAGTTTGATAATTCTTGGAAAGAAAAGTTTTGTTTTCAGCTGATTGGAAAATACCAGCTTTGGGAGGGGGAAGAAAAGCAATGAAAGGAAGAAAAACCCTAGCTCTTTTATTAGATCATTTAGCTATGAAGAATTTCCCACAGCCTTTGATCAATGTACTATTTGGCTTCTGAATTTTGTTATATTTGGTTATTACATAACCATTGAAAACTACGAATGATATCAGCATCTTTTTTCAATTTAAAGATGGGTGTAGTTGCCCAAGCCTTATTGCAAGAGCCTAGCCTTTAAATTAAACCTGGTATTGGAATACCTCAACAGTTTTATCACTGAAAAGACTACAATTTAACATAAAGCAAATAGAGAGGGGAAAAAAAAAAAATTCTTGCTGTCAGTAGTGACCAGAAAGGAAAAACACAGGCTAAAAAAAAATGCATTACGTGTATGATTTACTGTCTGTGGCAAGTCGTCTCTTCGTAGAGCTCTACCAGTAAGAGAATCTTCTTTTCCTGCAGAAGCAGTGCTTCTATTCCTTCTCAGCCTTTTCTCTTTTGCTATGACTAATTCTAATTCATCACAAAACAAATCTGTTATTCCTTTGTTTTATCAGTCTCCTGAACCTGCTGTTCTTGTGCACCACTAAAACCAATCAAGACTTTAAAGTTTAGATGTTAAAGTTGGCACTTAAAAAAGTGATTTAAGGTGTAATTTCTAGGAAGCCAATCTGAGATGCTTAGAGAGACAGTTTTCCAAAAGGTGCCCCTCATCACTTCTGAAAACCAAGTCTCTCTAAAATATTTCATGTTGCATTCCCAGAATTATCGATCATTTTAAAAAACTCTGATCATTTTCCTTGGGAATAACATTTAGTTCCTTAATCTACATCCATTCTGTTGACTCTGCTATTACCTGAACTGGGCAGGTATCTGCAGATACGGAAAACACAAACAAAAAGCCATGTAAACACCCCGAGAAAAGAATTAGAGTAGAATCTATCAGCCTGGCTTGAGAGGTCATGAAGGAGAGGTATGTTCTGTCTCACACATCCACTACCAGATACAGTTGTTTCTATGTGTACTGTCTTGCAAGTACTTCATCACCATCATTTTCATCAGATACCAAACAGTCTCAAGTAGCTTCTTTCTGTACAGTGCTGGCATTATAGTGTTTTGAAAGCTGGGAAGATGAAGGAGTTTCAGTAAGTATTTAAATGACTAGCACTTACCTTTTCTTTTTTTCTCTCGTTCTGTCTTAGCTCATGTGCTCATGTCACACCAATTCATTCATTTTCCAAGATTACATCTTGTTTTTCAAACCCCAATATGCATTTTAAAAAGGGTTCGTAGTAGTGTAGAAACTATTTTTTTTCCTGACATTTCTTCATCTGCCTTTAAAAATAAATAGTAAAAGTGGAGTTGTGGATCATGTTCAAGGAGACACTCAGCAAACTCAGCAGTTTATTTTCATCCTGAAAATATTTGGTGCCTTTTATGTGTCTTCTCTATTATCCACTCCAGTTTTCCGAAACTGTAAGATACATCACCAAATTTCCTGTAACTGGTTCTATCTCCATCTTTCACACAACTGGGCTTCAGAGATGTGATTGCTCACTGCTGAAACAAAGACAAACAAACAAAAAAAATTTGAATCACTTTTATGCTAAATGGGTCTAATAGTTAACTTTCTAGGAGATTTTTTAAAGCGTTCAATATGTTCCAGGTAATATCTTGTTTAAATAGCCACCTGCTCACATTTTTATTCAAGCTGATAAAAGAAATCAAAACAAAGAGAAAATGCCTACCCAAGAGCCTAGTGCTGAAATGTATTTAAAATAATTTTGTTATAACATTGTCTAACTACAGTATTTGCAAATTTTTAAGATTCTTAGCCATCTCCTATATTAATTACTTCCAAGGACCACTTTGGTGGACAAACAGAATAAGAAGAGGGTATGAGCTAATCAGAATTTATTAGTAATAAGGACACAGAGTAAGAGAGAGCCCTGTAAGAAGTGCAACAGGGAGACCTTTCTCATACATCATGGGATGCAACTAATTTTGACCTCACATCAACATACAACAGTACAATAATCAACATGATTATTATCAGTCATTAAAAATACCCAAAGTCTAATTGCAGAATCATCAATCTTGCTAAGTTTTCTTTAGATAATTACAGTCAAATACTTAAATGTTTTTGGGTTTTTTTTTGAGAAAGGATATTTTTCCCAGCCTTAAACTTGCTCAATAGCTGTATCACTGATGTGATTTAACAATGTAAGTAATGCTAATTGTTTATGCAGCAAACTAAGTATTTTTGGATCAAAACAGAGTTGTATAAGTGTAAAGTCCTATTACAAATATACTGATTTTAGCTTTCCTGAAACATTATAGATCTCATTAAAATACCAGTGTTCTTTTGTAATTAGCAGATTATTATACTGTTGTTATTGAATGAGGCTTATGTTTTCAGTACTTTTTTTATAATTTTAGGTCATTGCAACCATCCCAACAAGTAGGCTAAAGTTTTTAAAGGAAGCAGGGCGGCTCACTGAGAAGGAGGAGGTCCCTGAAGAGGAACTCAATGAAGATGTTGAAGAAATTGATCATGCAGAGAGAGAACTTCGACGTGGACAAATTCTCTGGTTCAGAGGGCTCAACAGAATCCAAACCCAGGTATGCTAAAAGTGAATGCCCACATGGTCTAGAACAAAAATTCTTAATCTTTGATCAAGGCAAGGTAATGTTGTAAGGAAAACCCCAGAGTGTTTGTGTGTGTGAGCAATGGTACTTGTTAATTGCTTTCAAGGAGGAACACAAGAAAAAGAAAAGAGGTGCACTGAACAAAGGGGGGTGTGTGTATAGCAGAAGACATAAAGTGAAAATATTATAAAATGATCGTATGCAAAAATAGGAATCTTTTTTTGGAGAATACTGTAAATGGACATTCTTTTTCTACTTTAGTGCTAACAGCTCATAAAAAAATTGTAAAATGCTAGCTGTGACAATGGCTAGAAAATGTTATGAAGGCTTTCTTAAACGTATTGTTTTTATTTTGACAGAAATACATTGTTGCTGCCACTTCTGCAATAACAGCATAATTTAAATTGTTGAGTCTAACATATGAAATACCATATAATTAAAAAGAATTGATTTTCTGTTCTGGCACTACCATATATATATAAAATGACTAAAAGAAATTGATTTTGTTTTCTATTAGGTAATAAAAAATGTGGTCCTGGATTTATATTCAGTAGTAAGGGCCTAAGCATCCATTAAATATTGAAATGTATGTGTTGGCTACTATGGATGATTTCTTAGAAATATCTATCTTTTTATTTTAAAAACCCCCCAACTTTTGCTAAATAGAAAAATCCACGGCATTTTTCAATATACTAAATATTTGCAATGCATCATGGTGCTAAATATAGTACAGATTAGGATGTGTAGTAAAATTTGTCCTGTAGCGCTAAAAAAATGAATTATTTTGCCTTTTACATTGCAGTGAAGTAGCATGTTTTATAGCATTCTAGTGCTCTCTACTTGATCTTTCTAAGATCAAGTGTTTGTGTCAGCTTGCAGAAGAGAGCAGCTATGAGACAGATACGTACTCACCATATCAGATGTGAATGTTTTACATGATGCTTACAAGAAAAAGAGGTGAATAATTAAGAAAAATATTTTTTTTTCTTTAAAGAATCTTTTGAAGAACATTTTTATCTCAAAAGAGTTTGATTTTTTGTCTTCGTTTAAGATAAACAGTACTTTCTTCCTTTTTCCCATCTACAAATTGATATTTTTTTTTCTGGAGACATAGATGCAGCCATGCATTTTAGAAAAAGTGAGGGAAAGCAGTTAACTGAAACTAGGACAGTTAGGTCTCTTTAGTGCATCTGCAGGGCAAAAAAAGAGTGGAAACTGCCATTAGAGAGATTTTAAGGGTTTGGGTAAATTCCCAAGGTTCTGTGGTAAGTAATTAAATACGGATCTTCAGCTTTGAGGTTGTGTGTCTTGACTCTATTGAGTCAGGAGCACTCATCATTAGAGAAAATTCAAATTGCCACAGTATAAAGGTGACAAGCAGGTGCCCAAGGTAATGGTGATCTTTATGTAAAGATGACCTCTAAATGTACATTCTTTTCTTCCTGGTGGCTATAGGAGGAGTGTTGTCTGTTGGCATTTCTGTCAGGATGTCTTTCTGGTTGTGGTGAGTGCAAACAACTACAAGCGAAAAAAAGCAAATTACATCCTTTCAGTTCTTTTTCTAGTCTGAGAGGTAGCTTTTAGTTCTGCACATCTTTGTCCACTTAATTCACAGATAAATTATTATTCTTTTATACTATTTAAAACAAAATGAACATTAATTATATTTCTTTGCTAACATCCATCTTCTTATTTTCCTTTCTGCTCTTAGTTGTAGAAATATCTTCGTTAGGACGTATTGTTTCTCTCCTGCCAAGAGGCCTCTGTGATTTTTTTCTCATTTTGTTTATTCAGTGACTTTGATTTTTACATCCATTTCACATCTGTGGAATGATAATGAAAAAAGGAAACGGGCCAACAGATTCAAAAATAGTTCCAAGGTGTCAACTGGAGAGTGATGAACTTATATGCAGGTCAAATTAGACCCATTGTTGGATGGACCTTGAGTTGAGTGCATTTTGATGCGCTGTGTGTTGTGGCCCATCCAGATGAATTCATACACTTGTACTACATTTCTCAGGAAGCCAGCTAAAGAAGAGTTGATGGAAGAAGATGAGGATGTCTGTAGCATCCTTGGGGAGCTGGAGGATTTGCAAGAATCCTCTGATGTCTAATGCACTTCTGGAGATGCGGAAGAAGAAGGTAGAGCATCCCCTCACTTTATATATATAAGAGGATGACAGTAAGATTAGGAATAAACTCTAGACTCAAAACTAGATTGATCATTCAAATCCTAACAAGACCAGTTTCTACCATCATACACATGTGCTGTATATTAGGGGTTTGGTTTTTTCTTTATTGCTTATTTTCAATTGAGTCATTATTGCACAGATAACCACAGCGCTCAACAAAGGCCTTTACTCCTAAAACAGTTATAAGGAATCTAGGATAGGGTTTGGTTTGGTTTGGTGGGTTTTTTTTTTCAGATAACCGACAGATCTCCCTTGTAATGCTCCAATAAAAACTTATCCAAACTGACAAAACCTTTGCATTACTAAAGGCATTTTTCTCTTTTCACACCCTCTCTAAAAAAGAGTTCAAACCTAGACATCAGAGAAAGGATTTCCACTGCTGATTCTTCATACTGAAATGTCAGACATATTTCTTTGAAGACATGCATTAATTTACTTAAAGAAAGGTGTGTGAAAAATGCACACAACTGAGTCAAAGCGACTGGCTATCTACTTCTGATTTTCTTTTTTGTCTACTTTTGTTCATTTAGACATTTTGTTGTCTTATAAATATACTGTAGGGCTTCTCTGGATGGGTGCATATTCTACTTCCCTGAATGGAAGAGTGTTTCATTACTGCACAGCTCTCTCAGAAGACCACTGACATATGAAGTTTCACAAATGACTCATCCTAGTTAGAGAAGTTTCAGAAAGATATAAAGGTGGTCTCAAATTGCATACAAGACAGGACTTTTCAACCTCTGCTAGTTTTCAGCATTTTTTTCAGTCTTTGTTGCAGTTCTCAGATTCTTCATTGGACAAGACTGATCATAACATCTTGGCAGATCTAATAGCCTTTGGAAAGCTCAGCAAGTTCATCTTCAGGCAAATCTGAATAACAACCAAAAGTCATTGCATCTTTCTTAATTGTATACTGAAAAGTTCCTCTAGTTACCTCACATCTGAGTATGGAAAAATTGTGAAGTGTGGAGGTTTGAAAACTTTTTCAAGCCACATGTGAGATTTTTATAGATCCTTTCCTCCTCGGCTTCATTCATTCTGTAATTCAGTTTGCTTTGTCTGCTTAAGGTGGGAAATAACTGTCTAGAAATGTTTTGAGAATAAAAGCAAAAACTGAAAAATATAAAAGTACCATATAACTGCTACTGAAAAAAGATTATTCCTCTTTAGCTGCTAAAAAATACATAGAGGTGTTGTAATACATTTTCTTTCCATTCCTTTCTGCATTAAAACTTTTCTCTTGAACCAGTACAAACCCAATAGGAATAAAAGTCACTCCTGGCAAGCGGTTTTGAAATTAGACAAAAAAAATAGCACCTCATTTAATGGCTTTCCATATAGCTTTTAACTCAGAAAACACTGCAGTAACCCAGTTTAAGTGGAATGGAAACTGGTTTATTTTGTGCAGAAAAGGTTGTTTTTTTTTAAAAAAAAAAAAAAATCCCAGTTGAAGATTAGGTGACTGGAACTTGGGTCCTATTAACATTAATGACAACAGAAATGCTTGCTGAAAATCTGTTCTGTGTTAAAGATCAGAATAATGTTTGTTTTGCCAGGACTATTCTGCTAATATAAGAGCCTTTTTTTTTTTTAACTGCTATTCAGTGATATTTTTATTAGCTCTGTATCCCTCAAAAATACAGATCATCTAGAGTATAGAACATACAGAAAAATGAGAGGTGAAAATTTCCAACCTTAAAAATAATCTTTAAATGTAGGACAGTATATTTTTTTCTCTATCCAAAGGCCTATAATCCTTGATGGGAAAACCAAATTGCAATCTATATTTTGTTGGAAATTTGTCAAACTTTTTATGATGTATGACTTATCATTTACTTTTTCCTTTTTAGTAACTCGAATTGTTTGAAATAAATACATTCTTTTGTAATTAAAAACCGACATCTTAATTTAAAATGCATTATTTATTTATTTATTTCTGTGAACTCTTTCTTCTTTGTTGGTTTCTGGGTTTGGAAGATAAACTTTTGGGCCAAGTTCTTCTCTTCTTTCTTGGCTTCGGGCAGAACCCAGCTTTTAAGATTCTGAAAAGTTTGTCATCCTCCCCCTGTGAATTATATCCATAAAGATCTGTAGTTACTTTCTTCAGAAGAATGGGTAAATTACATGTGTGTAATGTTCTCTGGAGAAACAACTAAAACCAGGTCTTCCCTTATCTTTTCACTCTTATACTAAGGTCTTTCAGTTTATTAGGAAGACGTTTGTACATCTAGAAATGCCCTTTGGCTTAGGATTTATCATCTGTGTCTTCCACAGTGATACGCACTCCATGCTCTCAGTAAGAGTCTTTAAAATCTTTTTTGAATGGTCTCTTTTGAAGAGTGCTCTGTCACCTGTGTTAGATCATGAAAACCCAAGATCTGTATTTAATTCTACTTTTGTACAGTGAACATTTCAGGTGAGTATTTAATATGCCTTCATATATATAACCAATGGTTTGAGACTTTTTTTCTAGATACTAATGTGAACCTTAGCTAATGATTCACTTGTACCCCCGTTCCATATGCTAACTCACCTCATACTGTATTTTTTAACTGTGATATATATATTGGACGTGTAATTCAAAATAAGGCTGCTGCAGAAAACGCTGAGAGCAAAGCTGTAAAATGTTGTAATGACTGCTTAATACTGTACAACTATTAGTGTGCACATTTAAGTGGATGTTGAAAACAGGACTCTCAAACAGTGGGTGGGTCAGTGAACAAATCAGCTGTTTCATGTGTGAATAGTAAAAGTTCAGTGTGACAACTTTACAGCAGTAACCTTTGATCCCTTTTACAGCTGGCTGTGATATGATTATTCCCATAAAAACATGCAGGAAAATAAACAATGATGTCCAGACCTAAGATTATGGCAGAGGATCCATCCATACTATTAAAGATTAAGCCATATGAATTTGTTTATTCCTAAGACTGACCACAACAGAAAATGTTAGCCAATTTATTATAGGGCTTTTGACTTGCAAAATTTAGGAGGGCTTACACCAAGATTTGTGCTGGTTTAGTTGATAAATATATCACTTTACCTACCTTCTCCCAACTACTTTTTAGAGTGTGTTTTCTTCAGAAATCTGGGTTGCAAGATACAGATTTGGTAACAGTGGGTTACTTCAAATAAGTAGTTGATCGGATTCTTCTAATTGATACTAGTTCTGCTGTGTCATGTTGTGGTTGTACTAATGTAATGAAGAGGATGTTTTGGTGTGTAGGGATTTGTAGCATATATTTACTCCTTGATATTGTGTATTGCCAATTCCTGGCTTTGCATTTGTACACAGAGCCTGTTTTTTATTGAGTTATGCTAGTGACAAGGGATGCCTCAAAATACTCAGCTCTTTTTTTTTAAGTCATCCTCTGTGGTGATGAATAAAGCACTCAGCAGGGTATTGAAGATGGATATATTGAACAGTACATACAATAGACATATGAAAATAACTGTAATGTTAATTGCTGCAATAGTCAATCCAGTTCCACATCATTTTCTGTGTGATTTTAAATGCTATGTATAAATTTTAATATTTTTAAATCTGTAGTTATAAAAGACCAATGTTCATTATAACTATGTTTGATTTATACAAACATTTATTATAGAAAAAGTCAGATAAAATATTGGAACACTTTCTATTTTATCAAGCTAATATACTAATGACCCTGTTTTTGTAGACAAAATGGAGTCATATTTTGAAAATTTTCAAGGATTTTTTGGTTTGGTTGTGTGTTGTCCCCATCTCCCACCCGCCCAGTTCCAATTAAGTGACTGAATTTTCCTCCTTCTGGAAAAACACCTGGAGAGCAATAAGAAAGTAATTTTATTCTCAGTAGGAAAAACCGTAGAGATTAGTTATATCAAGTATTTCAGTTTTATTTACTTTATTTAGATACAAATAAAAAGGTTTCCATTTTAAAGGTTGTTATTTCAAATCTTCTAGCTGTTTAAACTGATGCAGCTCTACTGCCTCCTATAGAGCAGTTTCATTTTATCCAGGCAGAAAATTTGGATCATTTCATACTTAAAAACATTAAAAGCAACACTTAAAAGTATTTAATTCAATTGAAGTAAAACTGTGTGCACGGTTGGTTTACTGTTTTTCATTATTATTCCTGTCAATTATGCAACTGTATCCATACTTTAAGCAACTTGTCTCATTCTTTCCTCCATTACAGATCGAAGTAGTCAATACTTTCAAGAGTGGCACTTCCTTTCAGGGGGCTCTAAGGAGACAGTCCTCCGTCACAAGCCAGACCCAGGATGTAACAAATATTTCTAGCCCTAGTCACGTATCGTTATCCAATGCTCTTTCCTCTCCTACCAGCACATCTGCTGCTGCGGCTGGGCGTGAGTGTGTATTCTTAATGCATCAGACCTACAGAGATGCCAACTTACGTAGCGGTCATTTGAGACTAAGCTACTTTGCCCCTTCCCATTTTGTCCTGTAATGTTTATTAGTTCACCCGTACCCAGAAACACATAACATGATTACTTTGTGTACAGTAGATACTCTCCATGAGTCATTGCAAGTTTTGTTAACTTACTCTTAGGACAGAAATTTCTAGTCATTTTTTCTCTGGTATATTGAGTTTCTGATTTTGCTTGATGCTTCTGTGACATGTTTTCTCAATCTTACTGCATATTTTTTATACTGCTTCTAAGATATGTACTTTAAATGATTCTACAAATATATCAAGCAATACAGCTTGTCAGATAACAGATCATTCCATCTGGAAGACTCTGTCTAATATAGATCCCTCATGTTCAAGAAGAATGTACTCCAATTAGCACAGGTACAGGAAGGAGCAAGGAAATAAGAGATGCAAGGCTAAGGGATTAAAGTTTATATGAATGGTGAAAGAATAGATTTGTTATCTCTAAATTCACTGGGAGGTATGCATTAAGGAAGGAGGGAGATAGGTAAGTTAAAAGTTCAGTGTTGAAACAACAAAATAAATGTGGTAACAAATTTCTTTTTTAGAAGCAGCAGGTTTCTAGCCACTGAAATCCTGACGCAGCTTTCTTTTAGATGCAAACAAAGCATCTAGTGAAGAGGTAAAGTGAATAAAAACTTGAAGTGGCTTGTAGTAAGAATGAGCTGCTTCTCTAGCAATGAAATTCCAGTTGCTCAGGAAGAATCTTACAGATCTAATTTAGTTTTTTAAATTTTTATTTATTCAGAACTGGGTTTATTTTTATTTATTCAAAACTGTATGTTTTACAGCATAGCCAGCACTATAAGAATATTGAAATTTATAGAACCCAATTTGCAAGCGTGTTGCTTACTTTACAAAGTAATGCAGTATATTCCTTATGCCAATTTTAATGAAAAGCTGGCCAAACAGACAAGAAGCCAGTCTTGTCTGTCTGGCCAACAGAGAGAGGGAAGGGAGACAGAGACAAGGCAAATATGAGAAGGAAATAAAATCCCAGAACTCCTGCAGAAAAAAAGGAAGCTTGACCTTTCCATTCAGTCTGAGTGCAAACCCCCTCAGTATTTGAACATCAAGCATTTAGACATTATTAGAAGTTTTGTTGGAATGAAAAGTCAAAGGACAAACTGCTTTTGCTGGAAACCCAAAGAGCTATTAAGGTTCCGACTTTGGCAGTTGTTCCTTGGAGAGAATTTTCCTCTTTTCTTGGGAAATGTGACCTGCTAACTTTTGCTCTGACAACGCCAACCATTTCAGAGCAGCAGCACAATCAAGAGACGTAAAGTCACTGAGCTGCGTGCCACTGCTGTGCCACAGGCACTGTAACCTGCTTCTGAGAACTCAGGGCCCAAGTTCCATCATTTCCACACTGAGCACCACACACAAACCAGCCTTTACCCAGGCAACGATTTTCCATAATAGCGCTTCTACATTTGAGCAGAAAACAGAGCAACTCATTCTGCTGTGGTAAATGTTTCAATAACATCCTGTAGCCAGCAGTCTGAAAGGATGCATCCAATAAAATTGAAGTAGACAATTTATCTTCCCTCTTTTGTCTCCACTGCATCAAAGCAAGTAAGAATTGAATAGCCTTGTGTCTTGACAAAGGCTGTGCTAGGTTAAGGGCTGAAGTTAATTAATAGAAGAAAGCATAATCTGCTACAGTTTTTCATATCTCTTTTTATTTGGAAAAATAAAACAGGTCTACCGAGCTCATCAGTTATAGCCACATTTGTTCAGGAAAATATAAAACATATAATTGATTTCTTAAGTTACCCAGAGATATGTATCTCCATTTCATAGGCCAGTTAGAGATTGGGCCTCATAAAGTGGTTAACCTGGACTGTTAGTATTTTATTACAACATAATGTCTGTTAGTATCAAACCAGAGAGTGCTTCAAATTATAACCCTTAGGGAAAGTTTCAATTTATTAATACAATGACACAAACCTAATGAATGACAGTGAAAAGGCAAAGAAAAAAACCCTTGGTTTTTATTTTTAAATTGGGTATTTGCAGTTTGTTGTTCATCTTCCAGAACCTGTAAAAACTTTCCTAAACAAAATTTCATAGAAATGGGGCATGTTTTTGTGAATTGGCATGGAAAATTTCAGTTGGAAAATGCACACCTAGGTCTACCTTTCAGCTCCTTGTTTAAAATGTATGTGGTGGGACAGGACTGACTTCTTTCCTCTTAGCTGCTCAGAATGAATGAAACTCTAAATCATTGCCTTCTTTCTATGGGGAGGAAGGGAGTAATGTGATAATTGTATCTCTGATTTTGAAGCCTTTACGTCTCTTCAGGAATCTTAAAATATTGTGTATGTAGATATATTATGGGGAGTATAAAGGGAAAACATTAAAGATACAGCAAAGAAAATAGGTCTAATACTTTAAAGGGCCCAATATGAGATTCTGTCAGGAGGGGTTATTTTCAGAGAAATGGTGCTCAGCATATTGCAACAATCAGAATATTTCAGGTGTCATTTTGGGTGTCCAAAATGTTCTGATATCAGTACTTAATACAAGAGTCACATGATGCTCCATCAATAAGAATATGTAAGTTTAATTTAACAGAGCATGTATGCAGTTCTTTGCTAATTGTATAGTTTTTAAAAAAATAGTTCATTGTGACACCTCAGCAATCTGTGAGATTTCTTCTGCAGATTTAGAATAATTTTTGGAATTTTTAAAAAATGTGGTTTTTTTCGAGTATTTTTGGACAGATTAATGTTTGATTCAGACGTTGGTGCATGCTTAAAAAGAAACCTGCCAGTCAAATGCAGCCCCATCTACATTAGTTTATGAAACAGATTAGCAAGTTATTACCTGAAATTTTCAGCTATTCATAAATATGGCACATTCAAGCCTTTCATAGGGTTGCAGGATACCTTAATTGAAAACAATTTATACAAAGGAATGTTTACTATGTACTAAAGTTTCCCTAGTTATGCTGATACTTGTTAGCTGTCACGGTGTTTTTGCCAGTAACAAGTCACGGATTTCTGGATGTCAGCATTAACTGATAACAGTGAGGTCCATATTGTAACTGCTTTTGAAAAATGTCGCAGCTTGAAATAACGTCGTGAAAATTTCTGCACATTAAAAACCTCACATTGTATATACTCTGATAAAAGAAGAAAATTTATTTAAATGCAAACTAAATATGCACACATATATAATATGCACACATTTAAGCTACGGAAAAATAAGGCAGTGGGGTGTTGGCCAAGTTTTCAGGTTTAAAGCCTTTCCTACTACATTGCTTAATTAGGTAGAGGATGAGTAGATCTAACTGTACACAAAGTAAACAAGTTATTCTTTATCCTAAACTGTTTATATCTGGTTCTCAGTTGTTGTTTATATTATCAGTATCTATCCCCTTCAAAAGAACATGGTTTCAGATCTTCCAAGAAAGATGCACATTTAATATTCCTTTGTACTTGCTCTTCCTCTTTCCTCTCATTCTCATATATAGTTAATACTGTTCCTAAGTGAAAGCAGCCAGAAACTGCAGGTCCTTTACAAAAAAAAACCCCTTTCTTTCATAAAAGGTTATAATTTTAAAATACTGTTAAGCATAGGAAACATTGGGGGAACAACAAACAAACAAAACCAAACCCCACCAGAAGGCAACCTCCCAGATTATGAATCTGCTGTAGTTTCTGTATTTGCAAGTTCCTTTTTCCTTGTTCTCTTGAGGTCTGTCATTTTTGCCTGAAGTTTTTATAGAAGTGAATGGAATCACAGCTTTTTATTATATTAACTCCAGCAACAGTGGCCTCAAACAAGTCACTTGTAAGGATGACACAGGAAAAAAATACACAGTGATGACTCCAAATTTTATAGCAGCCAATTAAAATCTTACTGAACTATCACAAAATATTCTCAGACGTATTTGTCCATCATACAGATGTATGAAGGTTTTGGGGTGGTTGGTTGGTTGGTTTGTTTGTTTGTTAAAAAGTGTTTTTAAGCAAAAGAAGAGCATTAGCACCCTTAAGGCTGAGTTTTTGCACTGGTTCACTTTTTCAAGGGGACTAGAATCTTCAAAAGTGGGGCTAACTTGCATGGAAAGACAACTGTTTTCATTATCACTTTAAGTAAAAAATAGTTGAGATTTATCAGACTTGCCAAGAAACTGTCATTTGTAGGTAGAGGCTTTACACATGCAACATTTGCCTCAGAGTGGTATAAGCATCTGCAAATTGTGTCAAACTAACGTAAGACGTTCAGCAAGCTTAATTCTAGTGTGTATTACAGTCCATTTAGGAATAGATAATTTTAAAGAGGGAGCTTATTTTGGCTATTTATAATATGCTGTGTGTGAAAAACAGATTCTTTTGTATCAAGAAAAATTATTTACAGTTCCAGCAGCTTGTGCTTTTCTATATTTCTTACATACTAAGTTTCCTATAAATGTAATCAGCTAGACGGACTTTACAACTAAAACATAAAATAAAAACTTAAGATAAAATATTCTAAGTTTGGATCAAGTTTTCTCATGAAGAAAGATGGGAACAAATATATTTTTTTAAAAAATATTCTATTTTAATAAATGTTAAGGCAACAATTGCTGTCCAATATTGATCTGTATTCAGATTACAGACCAAGTCCAGTGGGCATTCCAGCCTTAGTGAAAATGTGAGGTGCTTTCTGTGGCAACGTGGTGTAACTATCACATGATGAAATGGAACAAGCAGAACTTAAATTGGTCCACATCTAAAATGATGCTTATAAAAGTTGCACCATTTGAGAACATCATTGAACTAGAGACAGAGTTACCATACTAAAGCTTAGAAGTTCCCACTGGTTAGAACCAAGATTTC